CCGCTTCAGTGGGAGGAAATCTTATCGCATCGCCGTAGTTCTGCACTGCGAACCCCTCTACAGATCTTCAGCCCACTGTCCACCGTGGGCGCTCCGAGCCACGCTGAACACAGTGTCCAGTATAAAGCTCTGATGGGAATCATTTCTTGATTGATTTAGTTACCTCCGCGATGCACGTAACGATTAAAGCAGCTCATCTGTGTATGCATCAGTGTGCGTCGGGGTAATTCTTTCAAAACAACCAACATCCTTGAGTTTATCCGTCAAAATAAACAGTCAAATGTAAATATCTGTAACCTGCCATTTAACTGTTTTGCCTTCTTGTGAAGATTGTTGCAAAGAGAAACAACTAAACTTGATTAACCCCAGAGCCACGCGTATAAGCTGTACTTCGTGACTGTGAATGAGGGGGAAACGATTTAATCAGATCCTTTTCTTTTCAACATGGTTTAATCTAGTTTTATTCAGTAGCACCAATCTAACGAGACAGAGCCTGGATTTGTATTCTGAACAGTTTAAACTGGGGAAGGTCAGAAAAGGATTCGATAATTTTGTTTTTCCCTCAATTACAGCGACGGAGATAACGGCGCAGTGCGCCTGGCTTTGGTGTTAATCAAGTTTAATTTTATCTCTTTGCAACAATTTTCACAAGAAAACAGAACCGTTAAAAGCAGGCTTGTGTTGACCGGACAGTTCCCGTATTTGACCGTTTATTTTGACGGAGAAAGAATAGAAAGAATTACCCTGACGCATGCAGACGAACTGACATTTTATTCCACTTAAATCACAGATGTAGCTAAATCACTCAAGAAAAGATTCCCATCTGAACATCTGAGCTGGACATTGCTCAGCGCAGCTCACTGTCAGCGTGTACGTACGGTGCACAGTGAGCTGAAGATGTGGAGAGGGGCTTGGAGCACGTCGCAGAACCAGAGCGCATGCAGGAAGATTCCTCAGACTGAAGCGAGACTTGTCACTTAGAAAATGTTCCCTGATGATGAATCTTTGGCTGAATAGCGCTTGTTCCTGTCTCCAATGTGGCGACGCATCCAGGAGCCGTCTGAGGAGAAGCCCAGAATCTCACATCCTCTTCAGCTCAGAAAGCGCCGATATGATTACGCACAAGCGTGACGCGTCAACCCGGTCTCACAGTAAGACCGGGTTGGACCTGTTCAGGTTTAGGCAGACAATCTTTACATTTAGAATTGGCATACAGATGTACAATTAATGCAGTAAAATATAAATCATTTTATTTAAATATTCATTCATTATTTTACAAGCACAGAGAGCCGCATCAGATGGATGGAAGAGCCGCATGCGTCTCCAGAACCGCGGGTTGCCGACCCCTGTGCTAGCCTACTTTATTGTCCCCAGCAATTTTTAAACTCCACTCAAGTGTATGGTTGTTGTCCCCAGCAATTCTGACAACAAACTGACGCCCTTGGTTGGAAGAGAGACACAAACTGACATCTTAGTCTTCTTTTTCTCCGAACACTAATGTGTTCATCTCACCTAGGCTGTGTGAAAGTTTGCAAAGCATCCAGGGCAGAATGGCATGGAGCATTGCATGCAGATGTATTTGGTCTTCCGTGTGCATGCAGCGTCATGGCATCTGTTTGCATTTTTCACCTCGGTCAGCTGGGGCCAGTGATATCCTGTGGCAAACCTGACCTCACGTGCTACTTTGGTGACTACTTTCCATTTCACGGGTTGTGGGGTCCCACTGAGTTTTCCTCTTTTGCATTGCTGGAGGGTGCCACTATTTATCAGTGCACAAGCCACAGATGCTTTGAAGAGGAGTCGTCTCATCTCTTCCAAACCAGACATTTGGTAGAGACGCCAGGCGTTTACAACGGTCACACCCAAAAAATGAAAAACACCCGGATATACAATCTCTTGTTTCGACGTCTGTGGGGGTACATTGCCAGACATTGGTCAACAAGATCAACCCCACGCATGTGTTGATTGGAAAGGGCCGCGAGAAGGGCTTTTGGGTCATCATCATCTTTTGTTCCCTCTTGACCCATCTTGGCAACATCTTCAGGGGATTGGCCAGCACAGGACGAGACCACGTGAATGACAGAACTGTCGAGCCAACATGTGACAGGGATGTTTGCGGTATTGCTGACAACAGAACAAGCTCCTCTGCCCAGTTCTTTCAGTTGTTTTTTACTCTTGAGTTTGTGATCTGCTCCCTTCAGCCTGTTTGCTCTGCATGTGCCTGTGCCATAGATGCCTTGGTCTTTTAAGGCCTCGATGAGTGGAATGCTGCAGAAGAAGTTATCAAAAAACACCTTGTGATTTTTGTGTTTCATGTCATCACAAAGACGCATCACCACATCTCCAGCCAATCCCAATTCACTTATGCAACCACTACTTGCAGAACCTTGGTACACTTTGAATCTACTGGTATAGCCTGACGTTCCTGCTCTAACCATACCTTCACTCCTGACTGAAATTCCTCAGGGTCTGCTGCTGCCTTGAATGTCTGCCGAAGTGCACATAGGATTGGTCTTATTTAGAATAGCCTATCTGTGTTTGCTGGCTGTTAAGTCAAGTTATCCACAAAGTGCAGGTATCCCAGGATTTGTTCATATCTGTTTACAGACATGGCGTTAGCAATTAAAGACGGTCCTCACTAGACCAGTACATTCGTGCCCTTGGATACCGAATGTACCCCATGATCAGGTTGATCCCTAAGAATACCTGCATCTCTTCTCCTGTTACTGACAGATTTTCTTTCCCTTTCTGGAGAGATACAAGTTGGTGCTGTATGTTATATTATCAATGAGATCTTCTGGAAACAAATGTCTGAAGAAATCAATGGGATCCTTTCCCTCCACATTCAATTTCCTTTCTCCTAGGAAACGAGGCAAGTCTCCATCAAAGACATTGTCTTGGACTTTCCAAACATTTTTCGGGCTTGCGTATGGTCCGGTGCCATGTGCTCATCTCCCTGATCATGCTGACCTTCCTCTTCATCCTGCCCCTCATCATTCTCACTGTCTGTCTGTGTCTTCATCGTCCGTAATTCCTATGTCTCAGTTCTTCTCTGGCAGCCACTCATCACTGGAGCTGGAGGGAATTTCCTGGACTATTCTGTATGCTGCCTTATTCTTTGCTGCATTTGAAGTCTACAAAACATGATAAAAATAATTATAGTAACTCAAATTACAGCTAACCCATACAAAAACATATATTTTAAATGAGCAGCTTATAAATGTAACAATTATGTTCTTACTTATAACCAAAACAGACCCAAGAAACAGCAGAGCAACTTTTGTTAAAAAATATACTGGGTAATGCATGAATTCCACTTTACTGGACACATGGTTCATCGTAGTTTTCTACAAATTAGACATAAAAATTTCTTATTCCAAACAGATAATATCCTTCCCTAGATGTTACTGCATATCATATTTCTTTTTACCTGGTGGGCTCTTCCAGAATAGGATTGACAGGATATTCCAGCACTGGTCGGCAGGGGTAGCAGTTTCTCTGGCATCTTGGATTCAGAGGAAATTTACTTGCAGTTGCACTGACTGAACATTGAATTGACCTCTACGGAGTATGGCAGTAGAGAGCACTCTAGAAGCTCATATGGAATTCCACCATAGAAAGCAATGCATTAAAGAGAGGAGCACGTTTTAGTAGCTGTCCACTGCAGTGACCACTATGCATCAGAGGGTTAAAGACAAAAAGAGATAACCAGACGATACTGGAACAAGATCATTTTTATTCAGAAATATACAAATACTGCAGCAAAATCTCAAAGGCACTATTTAGGTAAATGTGTGTTTCAAACCTGCAAGAGGAGGTCATTGGCCAGCTGGGGAGCCAACGATGAGCAGGGAGATGGTGTTGAAGAAAAATAAAGGTTAGCAACAACTTCTACAGGCGGTCACAGCAAAACATTATCTCTCTTTGACTGTTCAGCCTTTATCTGCTGTGTCGCCCCCCCATAGAGCCCCAGCCAGACCCATGGACTGAACCCGAAATGGCCCGTCGGACTTTTAACCCAAAACCAGAGACAACGTAGTCTACATTTTAGCATTTCTTTACCAGCACGGATGAATGTTAACGCTTCCGATGTGTCTTGTCTGAGGCGAGTCCTCCTCTCTGATTGTGTGGCCCGTCTCTCCTTTCGTTCTAAGCTGTCCAGATCTGACCCGATCCATCGGGCTTACTCGGTTCGGATCCAGTGAGCGGAGTTCGAGCCGTCTGGCGGTCTACACAGAAGACCTCTAGACACGAGAGGGTCACGGGTCAGCATTACCGGTTTTTATTTATTGTACTGATGGTATTGGGCACGTCTTAAAAATCCGAATATTTCCCCTTGTGGTTAATATTAAATCTTATTAAACTGTAAAAACCGGCCCTGCTGTATCTCTAATCGCTGTAACATCTCTACACCAACCACCACTGATGTAGAAACACTCTTCACTCCACAGCTGCATGCCGATCGGAGCGAAGATGAAATCCCTTCAGCTGGAGCGCGCAGTCAGGGATGTCCTCGCTGAACCAGGATGCCATGAAGTACACGTCCTGGAGTGAGCACACATCAGAGAGGAAGATCCCGGGTACAGCCGGACGTGATCCTCTTCTCCTCAGATGCGCGAGCGCAGAAGCTCGCTTTCCTCTCTATTGCCGTCTCACTCCTGATCAAAGTCTGTAATAGATCTGCTGCGGATGCAACAGAAGCTATGAAGATAAACCCACGGGCGTTGTAGCGCGGTAGTTTGTCTTCGTCTCTAGTGTAAGAGAACGCAGAAGAAAGTCCAGACATGCGAATCCCACACAGAAGCAAAAGGAAAACAGTGCATCAAAGCACCAGGGCAACCATTTGTGACGCCATCTTGGGGGAAGTTTTAGTCTCCTTTGTCTGGAATCTGAACCAACCACACACACGCACGCACGCACGCATGCACGCACGCACACACACACACACACGCATGCACACACACACACGATATTACATTGATAAGAAAAAAAACAAGACAAGAAATCTGCAAGTTTATTTATAAGGGATTACAAACTGTGTTGTGCTTAGTACACACTTAGATTAAGCAGAATGAGGATTAGGACCATGAGCTGCAGTAAGGGTTATATTATACAGATTTAGCAGGCCAGGAAGCCTCCATCCACTGGCAAAGTGACTCCATGAATCATTCTGCTGCCGTCACTTAGCAGGAACAGTATGGCGTTCACCACGTCCTCCACCTCTGCACAAAAAGAGTCAGATGAGAAGAAATATGTCCACAATCACACTGGCTCAGGTTGTTCTGCTAGCTAACCTTTACGGAGTCCCAAGACCTGTTTAACAGACCTACTCTGAAACATTTAAGCGGCTCTGTGCAAGTGTACAGAGATTGAAGAATGAAGCCTTCATGCTGGAGGAGAAAGTAGCTTTAGATGACAGGACACCCTGCTGGGAAAAACACCATATGTTGTGGTTTGGTGCCTGTTTAGTTGGTGGACCAGCATACAATGTTGGTCCAGGAAGGGATGCTGGTCTAGCATGCTGGTCCAGAATCCAATCACCAGCCTCCCATGTTAGACCAGCATCCAAAACACAACATTTGCCGTTGTTTTCAGCAGGGTTTGGACTCATATTTCCTGATATTTGGGCATCTCACCTTTGATTGGCTAACAGTAATGCAACTCTACCAGTAGCTATATTTGCTCTGCAATGTTGATGTTTTATCTCCGAAAATAACACAGGCCTGGAGGAGTTCTGCTGTGTGGTGGAGTCGCTAATGCTAACAGTTAGCTTCTACTAGTTGAGAAGTTATCTGCTGTTTGCTGGACAATAAGCCTACAACAGCCTTCCTCACCACACGTCAAGATGAGTGAGTCCATGAATATTAAGTGACAGTGTGACAGAGATTTTTTACACTAGGTAAAACGACCCCAATGCCATCGCTCTACCACGTTTTTCTTGCTACAAGCGTTCATAAAAACTTTGTTAGCTTCAGGTTAGCATGTAGCTAATGTCCAGCGGAGAATGAGCTGATCTGGAAGGCCAGGGCTCCCGGTCGCAGCGGTGTAGCTCTACTTGTAATTTGACAGTCCCAGTCCATTTTAGATCTCCAAAGGCGACCAGTGGTCATGCGAGCAGGCCACCCCATGGTCCATGGAGCCATTCTTAGCTTCTTGGATTAACCAAGTTAGCTAGTTGCTACATTGGCTTCATTTGTTCCAACCTTGTTCCAAATGTAACAGCCCACCCTCAACTCCACCTCTTTTCCCATTTTTGGATTGTCTAGGCGTGACTCAGTCAAAAAAAAAATCAATGGTGGGATCCTCCCATTTTTGGCTTCAACGGAGCAATGAGCGGACTATGTCCATATTTTTATATGTCGATGTGTGAAACCCAGCAATAAATTCGGGTGGGGCAGCAAGAGGAGAGAATGACAGTCACAGCGGTGTGCTGCTAGACCAGTAGGTTAATTATCACTCCACCACTTGTTCTAGTGCTACTGGAAAAAAATGTATGAGCTAAATTTTGGTACTTTCCCAGTTAAAGGTCTCTTTTAAAGAGCAAGTCACCCCCTACCAGAGTCCAACTCCACTCTCACTTCATGTTTGAAAAATGCAACAAATGCTGTTGCCTGGCAGACCGAGAAGGCGGAGCTGCTAACAAATACACACACACACACAGGCTCACGACAGCATTGTGACATCATAATGTACCAGTTTACATCATAGCGTACCTCTTAGCCAATAGCGGTGGCAGATTTAAATTAAAATACAGTGCAGAGTTTTTACCTGACAACGGCACAACACTGCCAGTTTTAGGCAGAATATTGAAATTTGAACTAAGATGCACTGAAGTGCCAAATTATTGACGACACGTGTCTGCAGCACGATTAGACACTCGCTTATTTAGTTTATCAGCAAAAAAAAGTTTATTTGGGGGTGACTTGCTCTTTAAAGAGATGCAGCTCCTTTCCTCCTGTTGCAGAACATCACCTGACCAGAGTTTAAAAAATAATTCAACAAGTTAGTGGACAAAAAACAAAACAAAACAAAAAATATCAAAGCTTATGCTGCATTTTGCTAAAGTAAAAGGAAACAGAGCTAAATTGTATCATTGCATATTGAATAAACAGCATTTTAGCATCAGTCTGCGAGCAAAAGTATGACCCATTTTTGACAATATGTATAGAGGGTCATTTTAACATTAAATCAATAATCACACCTGTTTGTAGCCTAATTCCTAATTTAGATAGGCAACAATATATTTTAACCGTGTCAAATATTATTGTTAAAACAGTCATTATAGGTAACAACAGCTATTTTGTTACTAAGAGAAATTATATTTATATATTAAGAACTGAAGAAGTAGGAATTAAGTTTGAGGCATCTCTACTTCTTAAAAATCTAATAAGTGGACGTTTTAACATGTATTAGGCAGACAGATATTTTCTCTAGATATCTACTATAAATATATTTAACATTTTAGACGAGCAGCTGATGAATGTTTTAGAAAAGCAACTAAGAAGGACAAGGGGTTCTACCCTGACTCTTCTGTTTTTTTTTTTTTACTTTATTGCAAACTAGCCTGACCCATATGAATTACGGCTGCTACTAGTTTACATTTGTTAATGCCATGTTCTATGCTCCAGTTATGATAAATGTAGTTCGCTACATGACAAAGCCTGAATGTACCCTGAAATGAAAAGGTTCTTTTCAGCAAATCTCTGCCCACGGCCGCTACAAGACGTGCCTATAAGAGCCTTTTAGGTAAACTGAATGTTGCATTAGTCATGGTGGTCCAGTAGCATGGTGGTCCAGTAGCATGGTGGTCCAGTGGCATGGTGGTCCAGTGGCATGGTGGTCCAGTGGCATGGTGGTCCAGTGGCATGGTGGTCCAGTGGCATGGTGGTCCAGTAGCATGGTGGTCCAGTGGCATGGTGGTCCAGTGGCATGGTGGTCCAGTGGCATGGTGGTCCAGTGGCATGGTGGTCCAGTAGCATGGTGGTCCAGTAGCATGGTGGTCCAGTGGCATGGTGGTCCAGTGGCATGGTGGTCCAGTAGCATGGTGGTCCAGTAGCATGGTGGTCCAGTAGCATGGTGGTCCAGTGGCATGGTGGTCCAGTAGCATGGTGGTCCAGTAGCATGGTGGTCCAGTGGCATGGTGGTCCAGTAGCATGGTGGTCCAGTGGCATGGTGGTCCAGTGGCATGGTGGTCCAGTAGCATGGTGGTCCAGTGGCATGGTGGTCCAGTAGCATGGTGGTCCAGTGGCATGGTGGTCCAGTGGCATGGTGGTCTGACTTAAATTTTGTTTTGCCCTCTACTGACACCGGTTCAACTCAAGGTGGGTCGGCAGTAACCTATTTAGCCAACTGAAACAGATTTCATTTGTTTCTATTTTAGTTTTATTGACTATTTTCTGCAAAATATTATGTCTCTAAAAGTTCTTTGAATTATTTCGTTCCTAAGCAGCATTTTAGTTGAAACTCTGGATTCACGCTGGAAACTAATGAACAGATTAGACATCATATTACTAACAGTTCAACAATAAAGGCTTGAAAACATAACACCTGGATCACATCAGATGTGGAGGCGCAACGATGCACGGCAAAGCGCAGGGCATACTGTTTACACACACACACACACGCACGCGCACGCGCACTCACGCACAAACACACACACACGCACGCACACACAGCAGGGCATGAGGGTGGGGAGGTTTGGAAAGCTGTGGGCGTGAGCAGAAGTGCTCGTCAAAAATTCTCTCCTGATGGGAACAGAGGGGCAGCAGGCATCGCACGAATTTTGTGAGCGGTCCGCATCGCAGGGCTTTGCAGCTGATGTGATCCTGGTGTGATGCTGGCATGTGTAGCTAGAAAACAAGGAGAAAGTTAACGCCGCGATCGGGAGGCAACCCTGCACTAAACCACACCCCAGTCTGACACATAGCCAGTTCACCACTAAATCGGTTACAAAGCAGTTAGCACCTAGCACACATATTCTGGGCCATTCAGTGTGTCTTTGTAGATGGGGTGAGTGGTTTTTCCGGCGGTGTCCCAGTATACGTCATTTCAGAGGTTATTTGTCAGGAAATCCACAGAATATCCAGGTTTGAGAACCGAGACCAGACCCACTTCAGGGGGAGGAGGAATGCCTGGTAGTGGGCCACTTTCTTCCATTTGCAGGAAAAATCTTTACATCGACCAAACTGAAGCTGAGACGGGAGGAAATATGCATGAATGCAGCCAGAAAAGGCTTTGGGAGTATTTCTTATGAGGAAGTGACATCATAACATGGTGAAAAGTTCCAAATGTTAGATTTTTAATGGTATGGAGCTTTTACGTAAACTGTTCAATGAACCTCTCAACTCCGTCCTCAATCTTGAATTTTAGGTGATATTAGCTATGTCACCCTCTTCGGTTCCAGAATGCTATTGTGCCATTTCCAAGGATGGTTTGAGTCTGTCAACTGGAAGGAATTGGACCGACTCTGATGGAATGGGCGGGGCTGACTCTGGTGCAGATCCACCTGGAGGACCATTGAGTTCCTGCCAGAGAAAGCTGTGCATGTTGTAAAAGCCTACGAGGTTCTCCACAACTACCTGGCATATTCTGATGAGGCAAACACACCAGAGAACAGATATATACTCTCCGCTTTCACTGCTTTCTCCGCAGGTGTCTGGGCTTTTCTTTAGAGACGGGGTGAGAAGCTCGGTCATCCGGAAGTAGACCCGCTACTCCTCCGCATCGAGAGGAGCCAGTTGAGGTGGATCAGGCTTTTAATTAGTAGTCACTTAAAACGTAATGTTTTAGGACCCTGCCTCTTGAAAGAATCAGAATTGGGAATCAATGGAAACCGGAATCATTAAAATTATAAAGATGCCCAACCCAAGTAATAATAATAATAATAATAATAGTAATAATAATCGAACTTATATAGTGCTTTATTAGGACACTCAAAGACGCTTGCGTGAACTCTTACATTCACACACTGCTAGTGATGGTAAGCTACTTGTAGCCACAGCCGCCCTGGGGAGGTCTGACAGAGGCGAGGCTGCCATTTGGCACCGTCGGCCCCTCTGACCACCACCAACACAGGCACGTTGGATGAAGTGTCTTGCCCAAGGACACAACAGCAGAATACCTCTGGTGGGAGCTGGAATCGAACCCATGACCCTCCAATCATGAGACAACCCGCTCTACCTCCTGAGCCCCAAGTGGAGGCGGTTTCAAGCTTTTGAACATATGATGCAATGTTCTCCGACGCGCGTGTCACATCACCAGACAGAGGGACATGAGCACTTACCGAATGCACTACTATAAGACGTTAACCAGCAACAAAAAACTAAAACACGGATGGCCTCGTGCTTTTGGGACAGCACATATCTGAACACATGAACACAGAGTCTGACCTGCGAAGTGGCCGAGTGGGATGCGGGACGTCATGGTTTGGGCTTTGTCGGGGTCGCTCCAGCCCAGGCGGCCCATCTCTGTCATAACCACAGTGGGGTTTACACTGTTCACACGTATCTGGTAACACAACACGTGTTTGTTACACACAGTGATGGGTGATATGCCCCAAAGGTAAAACCATCATACCTCAGTTTTCTGACGATGATAAATCTGAACATGCAACAAAAATGTTGTTGATATTCATTCATTCATTTTTCTGCAGTATTACGAGAGCCCTATTACATTATTTTCCCTGTATTTCCACATTTACAGTTTATATTTTTCTTAATTTAGCGTTTCCATTCCAACCATATTTATTAACTTGTGTGATATTTTAACGTGATTAAGTACTAATTCTAAAAAGCAGTTGACAAAAAAGTCAAATGTAATGACTGATATTTAAGCTTTACAACTATTACAAAGTGCTTTGGTTCTGCAGAAGGCGGAGTGTTTTTACAGTCTTGCATGGAGATGTTCTCGGTATTAAGAGCAGGAAAGCTGCAGGTCCTGACAGGATCAGCCCCAGACTGCTCAGAGACTGTGCTGATCAGCTTTGTGAAGTGGTCACGCACATGTTCAACCCGAGCCTTCAGCTGGAGCAGGTCGATAATCGATGGAGGATTCGGTAGAATACTCGAATACTACAATATTTGATAGGTGCAGCCCTAGTTCAATACCTGTGCAATACTAGCATTACATAGTATGCCTTACAGTAAGTATACTGCAAGTTCTTCGTTTTTTTATTTGTGTTTTTTTGCCTTTTGTAGTCGAAGGTCACAATGCTAGCTTACTGCCTATGTGTATAAGCATGTACCTTTGCTATTATTGATCTTCAAACTATTCTCTTAAGTGTCGCTGTAACAACCCACTCTGGGATCAGTAAAGTCTATTGTATTCGACTCTATTCTATTTAGAGGACGGCAACATGAAGTAAAGTTTAAAACAACTGACACAGTATTGAAACTGGTGTTTTCTGTGGGAAACCATGGAATGAATAAATGAAATGTGGTCAGAACCTGGTATGGTCCCAGCTCCAGAGCCATCACTCTGGTCAGCATGTCCAAGGCACCTTTGGTGGCACCTGATCACAAGAGCACAAAGACGGCCGGCTATTAGCCCCCAGCCCGTTCAATTGAGGCAGATTGCTTAGTTGTCCCTTTTTTTACTCACAGTAGACGGAGTGGTCCCTGAGGGCACGCTGCGAAGCCTGGCTCGACACGTTGACTATGGAGCCTCCTGACCCACGAGCCTTCATACCACGAGCCACTACCTACACACACACACACACACACACACACACACCTTTAACACAAGTAGCTTTCTTCAGCAACTAATCTGGACATTAGGTGACAGAAAAACACCATCTGTCTGGCCTCCGAATGCAAAAGCTCTGCTGCAAAGAAGCCATAAGATCTTTGCTCAAGGCCTCAGGCAGGACCCAGACTGCTACAACTTCACTCTGAATAACAGTTAACCTCCTCGAAGTTCCTACGTGACTTTACAGCTAATAAGTTGAAATAATCATGTGTTGAATGAACAAGATGTTTAAATCAAATGTTTGAATAATCTGTGCTTAATCCATTATGGCTTCAAAATGAATATTTTAATGAATATTGCTCTTACAATGATCCATTTCAGATATTACCTACACCAGATCAGTATGTGTTTAATTTAACACATTTATCAATATCTACACTCATACACATTACAATAAGATAATTATTAACGTTAACATTCACCTCACATAAGTGTTATGTTAAGTGTATGCTATGTTTTCTTTTATAAATTCCAAAGTTTGCGTGGAAAATTGCTTACGCAGTTTTCCGACCCCGTTTTGTGCGTGAGCAAGCTTGATAAATGAGACCCCTGATTCTTATCCGAGCTGCTTCACATTCGGCTGCGAACCGCTCCAGTGAGAGCCGGAGATCTCGTTCTGATGAAGCCAACAGGCAGGGGCGCCGTAAAGCGGTGAAAGATTAGGAAGATTCTATGGGCCCACAGCTGTCAGGGGCCCAAAAAAGTTTCAAAGTTGAAATTAAAAAAATTTAAGTTTAAAAATCACAAGTACTTTACTTTGCAGTATTTTTTCTCATTTTCTTTTAGTCTTTATGAAATGTGTATTTATTCAGTGGTCCCTACTTTATTTTGACTAATTAATTTGTAGGCATCCCTACGACGCGCTTCTGGATACTGGTTCAGATTTTACAATCATGAGCAGGTCTCTTTTCGACCGCGTCTGCCTGGATGTAGGTGGAGGCGTACGATCCTTGTGCATAAACTGTCTGTGTCTTCTCTCCTTCTACAGTGCTCTTGTCTTCCAAGTCTCTGCTCCAATTCACAATCGGTCCTTTGACTTTGACACACCCCGTGTACATCTGTGAGAGCGGTACCATGCCCTTGCGCATAGGCGTCGATCTTTTGAAGCGCTTTGAAGCTTTTATCGATTTTGGAAAAGGGGGACTGAGGGCAGGTGTTAGAAAACCCCTGCCGTTCATTCCGCCTTCTGACCCAGACTCTCACTGCCTTGCGGTTGGTGACCCTGAGCATGGGGAAACTGCATGCTCAATGCCGAGCTCAGAGTCTCCATCAGAGATCCCCTCTGATGTTTTTTCTCAAATTGAACAGGTCGTGGACCAAGCAGATGCTCTTACCAACGATGTTGAGTGAGACTAGCTACGACAACTTTTTTAAAAATACAACGACTCTCTCGTTAAACATCAGGACCTCTTCGTGGCTTGTGACGCCCTAGAAACGTCACATGACATGCACATCTATTGGCATAAAGTCAAAGGACATTCTCGTGCACCCAGAACTGATAAGGATCTGAACAACCTTGCAGACTCTCGTGCCAAACAAGGTGCAGCCGATGGTACCCCATGGGTCTTCAATCCCTTGTGGCTCCCTGAGGATGTGTCTCCTCGGTCTGACCCACCACATGGGTCCACCTTCAAACCATCTGAGGGTGTTGTGTCCGTTCAACCCGTCTTTTCTGGTAACGATCTTGTCAGTCTTCAGTCCCAGGACCCTGCTATAAGCAGGATGATCCTGTACTTTTCTGATCCTACAACTCATCTGCCTTCTTCCGTCGAGCTTGACTCCGTTTCTGAGCTCCATGCTCTCTTTCGTGTTCTTGTCACGCTGAGAATGGTTGAAGGATTGCTGATGCATGCCTCCGAGCCTCCTTCGCCGCCTGTCCTCGTGGCGCCACAGTCACTAAGGGGGGGTGCTTGACCACGCATGCTCATGACTCTCCCTCCGCCGGACACAAAGGTGTCAATGCCACATTCGGTGCCCTGAGCCAGGTTGCTTATTGGCTGGGGATGCGTTACGACGTCTCAGACTATGTACAGCATTGTTTGGTTTGTATTCAATGTCAGCCATTCAACCCCGCACACAGAGCTCCCCACAGAGAAAGGGACCGTCCACACCGTGGTCGGACTTGCAATTCGACTGGGTGGGGCCTCTGACCAGGTCCAGCAGGGGTAATAAATACATCTTGACCGTGACCTGTGCATTCACCAAGTGGGTTGAATGTTTACCAGCACCTAATGACATGGCACAAAAACCAGCTATTCTCTTGATGGATCACATCTTAGCCCGGTTCGGTCTTCCCACTCGGGTTGACTCCGACAGGGAAACTCACTTCACCTCTGAAGTGATGGAACATCTTTAGCGACTGTTGGATGTGAAGGCCAATTTCCACATTAGCCATCACCCCCAGTCTTCTGGCCAGGTCGAGAGGATGAACTGGACGGTTATCAGCATGTTGAGGAAGTACGTGTCCTCTAATCACAGAGACTGGGATGTGAAGCTTCCGTTGGTCCTCATGGCCATACGGGCCACCCCTCATGAGTCTACTGGTGTCTCCCCGTTTGAAATGATGACGGGTAGACAAATGACCCTGCCACTTCACCTGCTGTACCAGCCAGTTAAGCCTGAGGCCGACCCGGCTTACATGAGTGAACAAGATTTGCAGGACCTGAAGAACCATCTGCCTGCAGCGTTCTCATTTGCACAGACACATCTGGAGAAATCAGCTGAAGGCAGGAAGGCTTATTACAATAAGAAGGCCTCACATTCTCGACATAGGTGATGAGGCCTGGTTCTACATTTTCGCTCCTAAAACTGGTAACACAAAGAACACCTCTGGGAAGCTGGCTAAGAAACTTTTGCCCAAGTGGTCAGGCCCATACCTGATAACAGATAAGCCCTCTCCAGTCGAGTATCAGATCAAGATTACCCAAACAAACAAGGAGCCCATCTACAAATGGGTCCACAGGGACCAAATCAAACTGCACAAGGGTTCCACTAATTTGGTCAATGCGACCACCAACAACTTACCGACTTCGACAGGGGGGTGATTTCGCGACTCGTCGGTTCCATAGCTCTCTATCTCGAGTTACACAAGTTTGTCTAGGTTTGTGTGTGTGCATGGTTGTCCTTCCTGTTTATACATGACGTGCAGACTTGGGTGATTGGAGATGAACATGCTGTGGGTTCCTGAAGTCAGGTAATCAGGTAGTTAACAGTTGATGGGTTTAGTCCACATATTGCTGTTATCCAAATTTGTTTTTGTTTTCACTAATCTTAATTCCTTATGGGTACATTCGCATGTAGGTTGGTTACTAACTTCACTGATTTACATTTTAGTGCTCTTTGACACTCATATCTATCTTTTTATAGAATTTTACTACAGTGATTTTTTTGAAAACTTTATGATTAACTTTGTTAATTTACCATTATGGGCTACAACCAATTTTGCCCTTCATGTTGATTATACTTTTACTTACTGCAGTGATTTCTCCCATACACAGTATAGGGTTTTATTAATTTTACTCTTTTTGCACCACTTTTTCCAGTACACGTGGTGTATTGCACCCATTTTTTCACTTAAAACGCTAATTCACATAATTGCTACACATAGTACATGCAGGCACTCACAGTGCTAGGTTTTTTGTTTATTAATTAGCATTAGACGCCATTTTGTTGTGTCTACATTGAAGTGCCCATGTGCTGTGCTCTCTCTCCTCTTCTGAGTTTCGTCGATGATCCTCGCTTCCTGGGGGTGGACCTATGATTCGTCACCCGATTCTACTCCTCCTGATGGGTGTTCCGGCTCGTAGGACCTGGACGTTCGTGGATTCCGGCAGGGCTGCTGGGATACTTCGCTCGCTGGGACCTAATTTGCCTGCTGCTCTTTCCCGCACTGAATCACAATAAGTGCAATTACAAAGATCAACATACTGTTGTGGAAGTACTACCTACCCGTGGATATATAAAGTTGCTCCTGCTTCAAATTATTACCTCCTCGTGGATATCTTAATAATCTGCTGACTTGTGTGCTTCCAAAGTAATCATGCGAGACTGTTGAAACAATGTACTGTTCTTCGGAGTGGGGCTTGTACCTCACCACTATTGGCCTCTTCCGGGGGAACTGCACCTTCCCCTGTCATCGGAGTCCTTTTAGGACTCTGGTTTGTTCAACGCCAGGTGGTCTCTACACGGACCACTGTACCACTAAAAAGGGGGGATATGTAACAGAAAGAAATGACAGTTTTCCACCTAAAAGTCATTTCCCCCTCTCCTCAGCAAGAACTAATCTGCATGAGATATTGCTCAAGGTCTCATGCATTTGCTCCAAACTGTTTTCCCTTCCAGCCCAAGAGAAGAATGAAGACAAAGGACTCTTTCTTTTTAATAAATCAAAGAACTCTATTTTTTTTAATAAGCTAATCAAACAAAGTGTTAGTCAATAATAATAAAATGTGAACCAATTTGTGAAATGAAAATATTAATTACTTGATATTATAATCCTATAGAATATAATAAGTAATATGACTTTAAATGTTGCCACTAGAGACTGATTACACGCAGCGTTAAGAGACGACACATTGCTTTACTGATCCAATCAGAATCTGCCAGATTTGACGGAGGAGTGGTTTTGGTGGTGTTTGGTAAATCTGTCATCTTTTCATTCGACCATAAACCAAAACATCCAAATTATTAAACTATGCCCACGTCATCTTTAACGCCAGTTCAAAGCGTTCTAGAGAAGTTGTCGGAGTGGCCAATCCGTAACTTTCCTCTTCAGCCCAAAGAACCAACGACAAGCTGGATAAAATCTGTTGCATTTTACCAACCAAGCAACGGCTCCTTTCAGAATACAAGCTGAACCATAATGACCCAGTTTTGGGTCTCGCTAGATGCCAACAAAACTGTCTTGATTTGGAAGTATCTCAAAGACTGGTCTGGTCGGCAACCGCTGCTTTTCCTACCGGCTTCGGTTCCAGAGAGGGTCAAGCTGGACCTCGACATTCCTGATCTAACGGGGACTTCCAAAAGGGTATGTAGGCCAACAGGATGGCGTCTTATGTGTTTATTAATCTCCAAATCAAAGCTTAGCATGAAGACATCACCTTCACTCCCATCAGAACTAATCGTTACTTCGGATTTGCTGGTTCTGAATAACATTCCCCACTACACCATTCTCAGTCTCACTTCACCTTGGTTATACCATAGACCCGCTTCAGGGGTAAAAGACCAAATTGAAGCTGATACGGGCAAGTGGTGCTCACTGCAGAACCACAAAGGTGGAGCTGCACTAGAGTCAGCCCTGCCCATTCCATCAGAGTCAGTCCAATTCCTTCCAGTTGTCAGACTTGATAGCAGTCTGGAACCAAAGAGGGTGTTATCATCTAAAATGCAAGATTGAGGACTTGAGTTGAGAGGTTAATTGAACCGTTTTTGTAAAGGTTCCATATAATTAAAAATCTAACTTTTAGAACGTTTTACCATGTTATATTGTCATTTCCTCATAAGAAATACGCCAAAGCCATTTTTGGCCTCATTCACGCATTTTCCTCCCGTATCAGCTTCTATTTGGTCCTCTCCGACGAAGCGGGTCTGGTCTTGGTTCTCAAATCTGGATATTCTGTGAATTTTCTGATAAATTATTTCTGATATGACCTCTACTGAGACACCGCCGAAAACCATACATCACATCTACAAAAACACACTGAATGGAACAATCACATGTGACGCCACCAGCTTGGTATCAGATGTGGTGGTGAAGTGGTTGTGCAGTCATCTTGGCATGTAGTTTTGCGCAGGTTCGCCTCCCAGTAGCGGCGCAATCTTTTTTTCTTCTTTTCTAGCTACACTTGCCAGTACTATGTTTTTAACCATTTATTGGTTTACCATTTAAAATATAATGACTAATATGTTTTTTTACTTATTTGATTATTTAGCCAGTGTGAGTCCATTTGTGAGCAGCGTTTCAACTAAAATGCTGTTTAGGAACGACCAAATTCAAAGAACTCTTAGAGACATAAATATTTTGCAGAAAATAAACATTACAACTAAAATATAAACAAATTAAATGTTTCAGCTGGCTAAATAGATCGTTACCGACCTCACCGAGAGTCGAACCGGCATCAGCTGAGGGGAAAGCAAAACTTAAATTAAACAATCTTGCCACTAACCAATTGTCCTTAAATGCTATTGTAGGTCGGTTCTGTTGGAGCGGCTACAGACAGATATTTGCTAAAAGAAACCTTTTCATTTTGGGATATATTCAGGCTTTGTCATGTAGCAAGTTATATTTATCTTGCTTAATTGGAGCATAGAACATAGCATTAACATTTGTAAACTAGTAACAGCCGTAATTCATGTAGGTCAGGTTAGTTTGCGATAAAATAAAATAAAAAAAAGTCAGTGGGCTGGCTGTTTGCGTGAGTGGGCGGGGCTGACTCTGGTGCAGCTCCACCTTTGTAGTTCTGCAGCGAGCACCCTCTCGATACGGGAGGAAAATGCATGAATGCAGCCAAAAAAGTCTTTGGGGCATTTCTTATGAGGAAATGACAATATAACATGGTAAAAAGCTCCAAAAGTTTGATTTTTATTATATGGAACCTTTACAAAAACAGTTCAATGAACCTCTCAACTCCGTCCTCAATCTTGCATTTTCGGTGATATTAGCTATGCCACCCTCTTCGGTTCCAGAATGCTATCAAGTCTGACAACTGGAAGGCATTGGACTGACTCTGATGGAATGGGCGGGTCTGACTGGTGCAGCTCCACCTTTGTGGTTCAGCAGCGAGCACTACTTGGAGAAACAGTCAGCTGGCTGTGCAGAACTTACAAAACTACATGACTCTCACGACAATTTAAGGAACAAAGTAGAATCCAGCTACTGTTACTTTTAATATTAAAATTAAAAATGCTAAACATTCCTTTGTCATTTAAAGATTAGTCATCTGTGAGTACTTGCTTATAATTGATATCCAGTTTATGCAGACATCTGCTATTTCCTAACTGAGCTGAGCTGAGTGAAAATATGGGGTTGGAGAAGTGGAGGGGCGCCTAATCACAAACGAGTTTTGCTTTTATTATTTATATAATTTGCAGATAGACAAATGGACGAAAACACAGGAAATGAGATTAAAAATATTTTTGCCTCGTCGCTTTGGTGACCCTATGCGTCACATACACTACATACCCAGTTTTGCGCCACTGCTTAAAGATTGAACAGCAGCAAGCTACCTCTGGCAATGGCTGCTAACTGTAGACATTCACTGGAAGAGTGTTTATATCAATATAAACGTTACTGAGTTATCTTGTTGAAATTGCATCAATAATAGAAAATATTGATGTAATTCCCAATCCTACCTGAGACACATGCAGTACAGCTCTCACATTCACACTGAAGGATCTGTAAAAGTCAACAGATCACCACAATGAAAAGCTCAGTCCGTGTTTAGTGTTGCACCATCAGTAAGACCATAAAATAATTCTTACTGGTCAAACTGGTCAGGTGTGACCTCCAGAAACGGCTGTAGGCTGGCGTAAGCAGCGTTATTCACCAGGAGAGAGACTGGGCCGATGTCCTGCAGAGCAACCTCGGTGGCCTCCCAGTCTGCAAGGTCCACACACACTGGGGTGATGGATGGACACTGTCAGAGGAAGTCAAATAAAAATATGCCATTCAGGTGGTTGAAGAAGAAGCATATCGGATTAGATTTGTGCCAATAGGATCAAGAAAACCAATTTGAAGATCAAACAAATATTAAGACATTGAGAGAGAAAAAATATGTTTCAAAAGAAAAACTTACGATCTGAATCAGATTCTTAAAATGATCAAGAAAAACACTGATGGTCAAACAAAAATTAAGAAATTGACAGAACAAAAATATTGACTAAAGGAAAAAAAATTTTTCAAAAGTAAAACTTATCTGAATCTACTTCTTAAAATGAGTAACAAAGTAAGTTTCCTTTTTCTGTTTGCCTCCATGTGTTTTTGTTATCAGTTTCCTTAGTTTCGTTCTCGCTGCTCACAGCTTTGCTCTCACTACCAGATTTGCACTTACACTTTCTGGCTTTCTCCTTTGCAATCCCTGAGTTTTTGGTTGCAATTCTGACACAACCCTTTCAGGTCGGTGGGACTTCTGAGAAGTCCTCTCCCATAGGACAGTGGTTTCTCTTGAGTGACAGTTCAGTGACCCGGAAGTGATGTAGCCTCCAAGACTTTTTTTTCCACCTCGGTCAACAACATGAATTTTGAGCCCCAAACTCAATTCAATTCAAAAATACTTTATTAATCCCAGAGGGAAACTGATTGCTGTAGTAGCTCAGAATAATAATAATAATCAAGTCATCAAAGAGGTGTTGTATATTACAACGGCTGTTGGCAGGAAGGATCTCCAGTAGCGGTCAGTGTTGCAGCAAAACTGAAGAAGCCTCTGACTGAAGACACTCTTCCGTTGTCGGACAGTCTTGTGAAGAGAACGCTCAGGGTTGTCCATCATTTTCTTGATTCTCTGGAGAATCCTTCTTTGCATCATCTCCTCCAGTGGTTCCACAGTCGTCCCCAGAACAGAACCAACCAACACGTTTTTTCTGCTGTCTGTGGTGTCTTCTAAGGATCTAAAGTGAGTATTGATAATATATTTTATCTTTTCTTAGTTAATCTGTAAGTTAAGCCACTTTTTAAGTTGGTTTTAACCAGAAGTTAGCTCGCTAGCTAGCTGCTAAGCAATACATAAACGAGCCAAAACGTATTGCGAGTCTGCTGGGAACGTTGGGCAGAGTCTCCTGTCAGAAGGAGCTTCAATTCCCATCTCCGACAGAACTTACAAAACCTTTTGGGGGAGGCGGGGGACATAGAGTCCGAATGGGCCCAATTCCATGCCTCCATTGTTGAAGTGGCCGACCAGAGCTGGGGCCGCAGGGTCATCGTTGCATGTCGTGGCGGCAACCCCCAAACCTGCTGGTGGACACCAGCGGTTAGGGATGCTGTCAAGCTGAAGAAAGAGTCCTATCGGGTTTTTTGGCCTATGGGACTCCAGAGGCAGCTTATAGATACTGGCAGTCCCAGCGGAATGCAGCTTGGTTGGTCATGGAGGCAAAAACAAGGGCATGGGAGTAGTTTGATGAGACCATGGAGCAAGACTTCCGTACGGCTTCGAGGAGATTCTGGTCAACCATCCGGCGTCTCAGGAGAGGAAAGCAGTGCTCTACCAACATTGTTTACAGTGGTGACGGTGTGCTGCTGACCTCTACTCAGGACGTTGTGGATCTGTGGGTGGAATACTTCGAAGACCTCATCAATGCCACCAGCACACCTTCCAGTTAGGAAGGAGAGTCTGGGGACGTTGATTTGGACACTCCAATTACTGGTGCTGAGGTCACTGAGGTGATCAAAAAACTCCTCAGTGGCAAAGCCCTGGGGGTGGATGAGATCTGCCCGGAGTTCCTTAAGGCTCGGGATGTCGTTGGGCTGTGTTGGTTGACGCGGCTCTGCAGTATCGTGTGGACATCTGGGGCGGTTCCACTGGATTGGTAGACTGGGGTGGTAATCCCCCTATTTTTAAATGGGGGACCACAGATTGTGTTTCAAACGTGGAGGGATCACACTTCTGTGTCTCCCTGGTAAGGTCTATTCAGGGGTTCTGCAGAGGAGGGTCCATCGGATTGTCGAACCTCAGATTTAGGAGGAACAACGTGGTTTTTGTCCTGGCCGTGGAACACTGGACCAGCTCTATACCCTTAAGGGGATATTGGAGTGTGCATGGGAGTTTGTCCAATCAATCTAAATGTGTTTTGTCAATTTGGAGAAGGTGTACTCCAGGAGTATGGGGTACCAGGCCCTTAGATTAGTGTTTTTAAGTCCCTGCACGAATGTTGTCAGAGCTTGGTCCGCATTGCCTGCAGCAAGTCGAGCTTGTTTCTGGTGAGAGTTGGACACCACCAAGGCTGCCCTTTGTCACCGATTCTGTTCATACCTTTTCTGGACACGATTTCTAGGTGCAGTCAAGGTGTTGAGGGGATCTGTTTTGGTGGTCTAAGGATCAGGTCTCTGCTTTTTGCAGATGATGTGGTCTTGTTGGTTTCAACGGACAGTGATCTCCAGTGTTGAGGGTCTGACCTCATGAGGAAATTACTATGCAGTGATTTTCTCCAAAATGACTGCTTAAATTGCTCTGAAAAAGCAGATAATAACATCAGTGCCAAGAGACACTTCATTTTCCATGATGCTTTGCATAGGGAAACAATGTGATGATGTCACCGCCAAGGCGGAGCACGGTTCTGTACATGCGCAGAACGAACCACAACAACCAGCTCAAAACTATAAGTTTCAGTGAAAAACGAAACTTAACGGTTCTTGTGTACCAGTTGCACTGGTGTAAAGGACACGCTGCTTGCTCCAGCTCCATTCAACTCAAGCACGCACGAGGCCTGGAGGCTGAAGAGTGCGAACACTGAGCCGCTGGAAAAGCAACTCCAAAACCATCAAGCTCACGGAGACGTTGTAAGTTATCAAACTCAGCACAAAGAAACTTTGCTCTCTCTGTCCAGCTGATCCCGTGGAGAAACACCAGTGGGAGAAACAACGGAGAAGCGTAAATCACATCTGACCAGGGAACACAAAGGGACGCCTTGTTTTGCCCCGGATCAGCTGTTATCTCCTGCAAGTTTTTATTTCATTTAAACTTTTACCTTTTCTCGTCTCCTCTAGACCAAGATAAGCAGTCGACCGCGTGACTTGCTTCAAATTATCAGACGGTTTTCTCTATCTTCTGTAATCAAACACGTTTTAGATATATATCGTGAAGTAAGATCTTTTGTTTATTGTTTATTTAATCTGGGTTACTGTCGGTAAGCTGTGGCCAGGCTGCCGACTCTGTTTAGATTAAATAATTAGTGACCTTTGTTGTTTAAGAGTCTAAACTTTTGAAGTGTTACAGTTAAGTTTTACCATGATTTTTAAGCCACTAATGCAAGCTAATTCCCTTTTGTCTGCATCTGAGAGAGGAAAGTCAGCTACAGCTCACACAACTCCAAGGACACACACTCCCCACACACCTGGGAAAACAAAGCCCCATTCATACAGCCTCCATCTCACACACACACACACACGTACGTGTTTTTAGTGCTCTGGGAGGACGAAGAATTCATTCACACACACACACACACACACGTACGTGTTTTTAGTGCTCTGGGAGGACGAAGAATTCATTCACACACACTCATACGTGTTTTTAGTGTTTGTGGGGACATCCTCTATTACACACACACACACATCTCCAATTATATCAAATTGTTTTGCATTATTAATCTCCTTGTTTAATTAAATGTTATAAAATTCAGATTTTGGCTCAAGAGACGTTGTTTGTGTTGGTTGAAATTTCTGCTCCTAGGATTCACATCTTTTTGATAGACTTGATAAGAGTTTTGGATTCATTTCCCTTTCTACTTAAAGGGAATGGTGCCCCGTAGATACGTAAGAGTATCTTAATTAATTAATACATCGGTAAATATTCCCATATTTACAGAATTTATTGAAGAATCCAAAAGTAATTAATTAATTACTAATTACTCGCTCCTAATTACCCCAACACCAGCTTTCGATGGAGGGGTTCGCAGCCTGGGATGAGGATCAGGTCCTCTAAATCTGAGACCATGGTCTTAAATCGGAAAAGGGTAGAATGCCTTCTGCAGGTCAGGGATGAGGTCCTGTTTCAAGTAGAGGAGTCTAAGTATCTCGGGGGTCTTGTTCACATCGATAGGTGGAATGGTGCTGCATCTGCAGTGATGCGGGCGCTGTACCGGTCTGTCGTGGTGAAGAGAGAGCTGAGCCGGAAGGCAAAGTTCTCGATTTACCGGTCGATCTATGCTCCTACCTTCACCTGTGGTCACGAGCTTTGGGTAGCGACCGAAAGAATGAGATCACAGATTCAGGCAACCAAAATGAGTTTTCTCCACAGGGTGACTGAGCTCTCACTTAGAAGCTCAGTCATCTGGGAGGGGCTCAGAGTAGACCCGCTGCTTCTCCACGTCGAGAGGAGCCAGTTGAGGACATTTGGACTCCTCCCTGGTGAGGTTCTCTGGGCATGTCCAACTGGGAGGAGACCCAAAAGAAGACCCAGGACACGCTGGAGGGACTACGTCTCTCAGCTGGCTAGGGAACGCTTTGAGATTCCCCCCGAAAAGCTAGCCCAAGTAGCTGGAACAATTACTGCTGGGCAACAACATCAAATATATTATTTATCAAACACCATCATCACTATCATTGAAAATCAAAATAAAATAACCATGCTCTCTGCCCAACTCTTCCATCACGTGACATTCCTGTTATGGGCCCTGAGCAATGCTCACTAGGAGCGGTGGACCCACAACATAAACACGATGAGTCTCTCTTAAAATTATGAAAATTTACTTTATTTGAAACTTCTTGAGACTGCGCATACAGGTGGGATGCTCCAACAGGCCTGTAGGGACAACCATAAAAACACAAGGGGAGAGGATTTAATCCACCATCTCAACTAAAAATACCCACTTAGGAGAAGAAAACAGACTTCTCGAACCAACTAACTGGAAAGAAAATTTAACCCTAGTTGGGAGTATAGTCACAAACGTGGTTTGGTGGCACACAAAGGGCGCTGCCGCCTAAATCTCTAGGGCCCCACTCGCAAACAAAGCTGGCAGTAAGCTGGCTAATAAAAAAGCTAAAGGTGAGTGAGCACTCAACAAGTATTTTTAATTAATGCATAGGTTCTAAGACCAACAAAGGAACTCATCCATAACACAATAAATCAAAAGGAGCTTTAAACTTAAGGAGTCAAACGAGGGAAATTCAAAATGAGTATCAAAACTTAAGGAGACAATGAAGGATTATATCAAAAGGAGCTCTAAACTGAAATGAGACTGATTAAGGGAAGGGAGTGATGACAGTCTGTGAATCAACTAGGCGATGAACTCAGGGGTACTCATACTCTCTCAAAGATCCCAGCAAAAGGGCCTAGAACCCAACCACACAGAACGCTCCGGACATCAGCTCAGGGATCTCATGAAACTCGTGTTCCAACCTTAAACGTAGCAGCTTTCCTTCCTCTCGACACCTCTCAGCGTGTCCTCCCAGTCCGGTCTCTTTTACAGCTCTCTCTCCAGCTCTTAATCACCTTCGGAACCTCCAGTCGGCGCTCAGTCCTTTCTCCAGCTCAGCAGTTCCTTGCTGCAACCGATTCCTCCTCTCTCCAGCTCCTTCTTCACTCTCTCCATCGCACATACACTTCCGTTTGCTCTGTGCCTCCTCTTCAACTGTTGGTGCAGGCCTCTAAATTAGCTGATGCGCACCAGCTGCCCTGTCAGGAACAGCAGCAGCCTTTAAGTGTCAAAGGGTTCCAGATGATGGCGCCCTCTGGTGGGGGAGTTAAGCTGATTCATGGGGTTCACCTCTCAGGATGAACAGAGGAAGTATAACTCAGAAGCCTAAATACAGGGGGCAGTAACAATTCCCATATTTGATGGAGATCCACTGCAATACCACCTTTCAAATGGGCATCTGAACAAGGAGTAGAAGAAAAGGCAAGTAAATCTGACTGCATGTACTACTTGGAACAATTCAAAAGAGGGCAGCTAAGGGTACTGGTTAGAAACTGCCAGCACATGACTCCTGAAAGTGGCTACATGACAGCAAAACAGCTTTTAAAGGAACATGTTGGAAATGAGTACAAGATTGCTGCTGCATACATGGACAAGGTGCTGGCATGGCAGTCAATAAAGTCAGAGGACGCCAAAGCACTTCAAGCATGAGCTCTGTATTTGTGTGGATGTTGCAATGTGATGCAGGAACTTGATTACATGGAGGAACTAGACACGCCATCAAATGTAAAACTCATTGTTTCCAAGTTACCATTCAAGTTAAGAGAGGGTTGGAGAGCTAAGGCTCATGACATTTTGGAACAATGTCATCACAGAGCTCAATTACAAGACTTAGTGATGTTTCTGGAGAGACGTGTAAAGATCTTGACTGATACCATACATGGAAACATTGAACAAAGCAAAACAAGCTGCTTTCGACCATCCAATTCTAAGCAACAAAGTTCTGGTGGACCAATGGGGAGCTTTGCTACAACTATAAAGGCAGTGAACTCCAGCCATAAACATGTGTCGGATGATTCACATGAACTTTGTTGTTGCTGCTCGTGTGCTCACAATCAGGAAAACTGTCAGAAATTCTGAAGCAAGAAGCACAGAGACAAGATATCATTTTGAAAGGAAAAGGGAGTCTGTTTCGGCTGCCTGGGTTTTGGACACATTAGTCGTAATTGCACGAAACGTTTGAACTGTGAGATCTGTGGACAACAGCATCCTTCGGTGCTTCACTTAACTAAATCTAGTGAGAACTCATCACCCATCAAACTCTCACACGGACATGTGGTCATTCAGGGGCTGGAAAAGGTGACTGCTGTCTATTGTTCCAGTGTGAGTTCAATCCATTAAAGGAAATAAAGTTGTTCAAACGTCTGCATTCCTTGACCCTGGCAGTTTGGCTACATTTTGCACAGAACAGCTCATGAAAAAATTACAAATCGATGGAAAGAGGACTCAGTTTCTTCTTACAATAATGGGACAGGAAAAGGTTGTTCCAGCCCATTTATTGCATGGATTAGAGATTGCAGGTTTCAGTGACAGTACTTTTCATCTGTTACCTGAGGTTCTGACACAGAAACAAATGCCAGCCTCAAAGGCTAACATTGCAACTAATGCAGATCTACAAAGGTGGCCTTAAGCTTGGTTTATGCTTGACGCATTTACTTAACGCTTGGAGCAGATTAGCGTCCCCTCCTCCTGAGCGGGAGCACAGATTACTGATGCGCTCCAGCTTTGGCACAGCACGCTCCTCTCCCCGCAGACGTGCTCGTCCCAGCGTACCGCCGCAAAAACCCCTCACTGCACGCCTTATACACTTTTTTCAGATATGCATGAACATTTTTATTTTTGTCTCATGTTTAAACATTCTCAAAGTTCAAGCCTTCAGACGCAGAACACAAAGCGCTGTAAAAAAAAAAAAAAGGGTGCAAAATGGAGCTAAAAACTTGTGTGAAAGGTGAAGCGTTACTGCACTGATGTTCGCTGATATTGGTCTGAAACCGTTTGTCTGTGGTGTCACGTGTGCATAAGCAACAGGTTCCCTTTTGGTTTTAGTTTCCGTTACATAAGGAGATGTTGTTGGAGGTTGGTTCTGTTTCTGTGGGTAAACACTCAGGTGTCAGATCTGTTGTCTGAAGAGCTGCAGAGCATCAGTTCCCATTTTCCATTTATTTACACTTAATTGTGATTGATTACCCATTAACCATGGACACATACAATTTGTCAGGGTCAAATATGTTAAATCAATTGGCAGTCGTCATCATGGCACAACTGGACAATAAATAAAAAGCCAATGCAAGACGAGACAGTAATATAGGACAGAGTGTGTTTAGGAGATGAGAGGTACCTCTTGAACCAGGGTGTCCAGATCAGCCTGTGTCCGTGTGACTGCTGTGACCTTTGCCCCGCAGCGTGCTAGAGCCAAGGCTGTGTGTCGGCCAATTCCTGAAGCACAAAATATCCATAAAACAGAAAAAAGTTCAAACAGAGTAGTCTATAAAAATAAGTATAATAACTGGCTTATAACACCACATACTAGCCACAATTTAGATCTTCCTGACTTCGTTTTTTACACATACTGTGGGTCACCTGTGGACTTCTTCTGTGAGGCTCCTCCATGGCGGTAAGGCGTTTCCTGTTTCCTGTTTTCAGTGTGGCACTGCGTGTAGCTGTTTGGTGTTTGGGGCTCGCTAAAACTGATTTAATTTCTCTGTACTTGGATATCTCTGAGTTATTGTAGCACAAAAGCACGCTAAAACACACATTTTCTGTTGTTCCACCTAGCTTTTAGGGAACCATTTGAGTTTGCACGCAGTTTATTTGGCGTTGAACAGTTTGCTCGTCCAGTTAGCTTAGCCTCAGCACGGCTATGGCTACTTCTGTCTCTGCTTCTCCGTCTCCTATCTCTTGCTCTCTGCGTCAGATGTTTAGTTACTCCTCTGCCTCCTTTAGTGATAATGGTACGTGTAATAAATGTAGCATTTTTGTAGCTTTGGAGGCGAGGGTGTCGGAATTGGAGTCCCGACTCTGCGCTGTTGAAAAGCCCGTAAACAGCCGTAGCTACTTAGCTAGCGCGGGGCTAACTAGCTCAGAACCACCCCGTAGCGGTCCTCCAGCAGAACCCGAGCAGCCGGGACCTCAGGACGGCTGGGTGACGGTACGCAGGAAGCATAGAACCCAGTCCGTGGGCCACCACCAACCCGTCCACGTTTCTAATAGATTTTCCCCGCTCAGTGACGCACCCACTGACAAGCCGACTCTGATCATTGGCAGCTCCATAGTCAGAAACGTGGCATTAGAGACTCCAGCAACCATAGTTAAATGTTTACCTGGGGCCAGAGCGGGCGACATTAAATCTTATCTGAAACTGCTGGCTAAGGATAAGCGTAAATACAGTAAGATTGTTATTCACGCTGGCGGTAACGACACCCGGTTACGCCAATCGGAGGTCACTAACATTAATGTTGCTTCGGTGTGTAAGTTTGCCAAAACAATGTCGGACTCCGTAATTTTCTCTGGCCCCCTGCCTGATCGGACCAGTGACGACATGTTTAGCCGCATGCTGTCCTTCAACCGCTGGTTGTCTAGGTGGTGTCCTGAAAACAACGTGGGCTACATTGATAATTGGAAAACTTTTTGGGGAAAACCTGGTCTGATGCGGAGAGACGGCATCCATCCCTCTTTGGATGGAGCAGCTCTTCTTTCTAGGAACATGGCCAGTTGTATTAGTCCTCCATGACAACCCAGGGTCCAGACCAGGAAGCAGAGTCGTAGTTTAACCCACCCCTCTGCAGCTTCTGTACTGTTACCCACCCACTACCCCATAGAGACAGTGTCCTGCCCACGGCCAAAACCACACAGATTAAATATCAGGCTTAATAAAGCAAATCATGGAAATCTCATAAATATTAGAACAAACTCAACTGAGCAGAAAACTAGAAAAATTAAATGTGGGTTGTTGAACATTAGATCCATTTTTTCTAAGACTTTGTTAGTTAATGACTTGATTTGTGATAATCAGATCTCTTTGCTCTCTCTCACAGAATCCTGGCTGCAGCAAGAGGACTATGTTAGCTTAAACGAGTCGACTCCTTCAAATTATTTAAATCATCACATTGCTCGAAGTACAGGGCGAGGAGGAGGAGTGGCAACCATTTTTCATTCGGACTTATTAATCAACCCCTTACCAATTAATAGCTACAGTTCGTTCGAACATCTTATTCTTAGTTTTCCTAATCCAGATTGCAAAACTGTAAAACCACTCTTGTTTGTAGTTTTATATCGTCCACCAGGCCCTTGCTCTGAGTTTTTGGATCAGATCTCAGATTTTGTATCTGATTTGGTGCTAAATACTGATAAGGTCATTGTAGTGGGGGATTTCAACATTCATGTGGACATTGAAAATGATAGCCTCAATGTAGCCTTTAGCAATATCTTAGACTCAATTGGTTTTACTCAAAGAATACATAGCTCCACCCACTCCTGCCATCATACATTGGACCTTGTGCTGACTTATGGCATTGAGTGTGAGGAAATAACAATCTTTCCACATAATCCAGTCCTCGCGGGCCACTTTCTGATAACCTTTGAGTTTTTTATAACTGAGTTCTCGAGACATGAAAGTAAATTTCATTATAGTCGGTCTCTATCCGACAACGCAGTTGCATCTTTTAAATCAACTGTTCCATCTTTACTGTCCTCAGTATCTCAGAGGAACGTAGCAGAGGGCAATATTTTCAGTTCTAGCCCCTCACAAATTGATGCCTTAGTTCATCATGTTAATTCCTCTTTACGTGTGGCATTAGATGATGTTGCCCCTTTAAAAAAGAAGGTAATTAGGGACAGGAAGTTGGCTCCCTGGTTTAATTCTCATTTACGAGCCTTAAAACAAAACTCTAGGAAATTGGAGAGAACATGGCGCTCTACGCACCATGAGGAGGCCTACCTATCCTGGAAAAATAGTCTTGTGCTTTATAAAAATAAACTTCAACAAACTAGAACTGCTTATTTCTCAGTGTTAATTGAGGAGAATAAGCATAATCCTAAATTTCTTTTCAGTACAGTTGCTAAACTTACACAGAATCGTAGCTCTGAGCCATCTATTCCCTTAGCCCTCAGCAGCAATGACTTCATGGGATTTTTACAAGTAAAATTAATTCTATTAGAATTAAAATCTTTAGCATCCTCCCTAATGCGATTTCTTCTTCCTCAGTAAGTGAGGCAGCATCAGAGGTAACTGTAGAACCTCATCTGTGTTTGAACCGTTTTGATCCAGTTGAGCTTTCAGAGTTATCAAAACTATTAGCTTCATCTAAACCTTCAACTTGCATTTTGGATCCAATCCCAACCAAATTATTTAAAGATGCATTTCCTTTGGTTACTGCCCCCATTCTAAATATAATCAATCTGTCCTTAGTAAATGGGTATGTACCACAAGATTTTAAGGTTGCTGTAATCAAACCTTCACTTAAGAAGCCTTCTCTGGATCCAGATGACCCAATGAATTATAGACCAATATCTAACCTTCCATTTTTATCCAAAGTCCTGGAGAAAATAGTGGCCATCCAAGTATGTGAGCATTTAAACACTAATGCTCTGTTTGAGGAATTTCAGTCTGGTTTTAGAGAGCATCACAGCACTGAAACTGCATTAGTGAGAGTTACAAATGATATTCTTATGGCCTCAGATAAGAATCTTGTGTCTGTTCTAGTCTTGTTAGATCTCAGTGCTGCCTTTGACACAGTTGATCACAATGTTCTTTTAGAAAGACTTGAACATGTTGTAGGGATCAAAGGAACAGCGTTAGGCTGGTTTAAATCCTACCTGTCTGACAGATTTCATTTTGTAAACGTACATGACAAATCTTCTTCATACTCCAAGGTTACTTGCGGAGTACCACAGGGTTCAGTGCTTGGACCAATTCTTTTTACTACATATATGCTCCCAATTGGTAAAATCATTAGACAGCATGGGATAAACTTCCACTGTTATGCTGACGATACTCAGCTATATTTATCCATTAACCTGATGAACCTAATCAGTTAGGTATGTTTATGTTTATTCATTTAGCAGATGCTTTTATCCAAAGCGACTTAAATTTATAACCTATAGGGCATGTTGTGATCTGTGGGGGAAACCGGAGTAGCCAGAGGAAACCCACGCATGCATGGGGAGAACACGCAACTCCACGCAGAAAGGCCGCAGCCGAGCCGAGTTTCGAACCTGCAACCTTCGTGCTGCTAGGCAACAGTGCTAACCACTGCGCCACCATGCAGGTAGAATACAAGCTTGTCTTGAGGACATAAAAAATTGGATGACTCTAAACTTCTTGCTTTTAAATCAAGACAAGACGGAAGTTCTCATCTTTGGACCAGAAATCCAGAAAAGGAAATTTCTTAGCCAATCACCTGACCTGAATGGGATTATATTTATCTCAGAGAACAAAGTAGGGAACTTGGTGTTATCTTTGACCAGGACATGTCATTCAAATCCCAGGTTAAACAGGTTTGTAGGATTTCTTTTTTCCACCTTCGGAATATTGCTAAGATTAGAAGCATCCTTTCCAGGAGTGATGCTGAAAAACTAGTTCATGCAAGACTGGATTACTGTAATTCATTACTCTCAGGAAGTCCACAGAACGTAGTTAAAAGTCTTCAGCTTGTCCAAAATGCTGCAGCTAGAGTTCTGATGAGAATTAAAAAGAGAGATCATATCTCTCCTGTCTTAGCTTCCCTACATTGGCTACCTGTTAAATTCAGAATAGATTTTAAGATCCTTCTTCTCACATATAAAGCTCTTAATAATCAAGCTCCATTATACATCAGTAATCTGATTGTTCCATATGTTCCTAACCGAGCACTTCGCTCTCAGACTGCAGGTCTACTGGTGGTTCCCAGAAAATTTAAACTTAGGATGGGAGGCAGATCTTTTAGTTATCAGGCTCCTCTCCTGTGGAACCAGCTCCCAGCTTTAGTCCGTGAGGCAGACACCTTGTCTACTTTTAAGAATAGGCTTAAAACATTTTTATTTGATAGGGCCTATGGTTAAAATCTGATGTTAGCTTAAATCAGGACAAGTGGGGGAGTAGAGGGAGGTGGCGTGTACAGTCGGTAAAGACGGCTCTCCCTTGCCCTGCCTCCAACATGCCTCCATTTAAAAAGGCTAGGTTTTCCAGAGTTATCTCTGTAGTTATGCTGTTATAGGCTTAGACTGCTGGAGGATACACTGACCACTTTCCACACTCTACTACTTTCTTCTACAATCTGCTCTTTAACATGTTATTTTCTGCAATTTCAGCTGTTAACTTTATTTTTTCTCTAAGTGTTTTTCTCCCCAGAAGAAGCTACAGTGAGTCGTGGAGGATGGCTGCTTATACTGAGCCAGGATCCTCTGGAGGTTTCTTCCTGTTAAAAGGGAGTTTACCTCTCCACTGTCGCTTTATGCTT